CCCCTCCGAGCCCAGGTGAGTGCCCCGGGCGGCTCCGTCGGGCTGTTCCTGACAGTCCCCAGTGGGACCCTCCTGGGGCCACCACGTGCCCCAACCAGCTGAGCCTGGCTCAGGGCCCGGTTGTACCAGCCTCGCTCACCTTCCCCTCTCTCCCGGCCTGATGAAGAGCTGACAACCCCCTTCCTGAAGAAGTCTCACACCCCTCCTCTCCATGAGGACGCCAACACCGTGGTCATCGCAGGTAGGGGCTCTCCTCACCCGATCCACCCCGTTCACCGAGGGGCAGCTCAGTCCTGACCCCTCGGGGCTAAACCTCGCTCCTCTCTCTGCCTTCTCCCGGGTAGTCGTCATCACCCTGGTGTTCCTCACCCTGCTGACGGTCCTGGTGGTGATCATCATCTACCTGTACAGAAACAAAGGCAGCTACCTCACCTACGAGCAGCCGGCGGCGGAGCCCGACGTGTCGGTGCAGATGGAGGATGCTCCACCCAAGGAGAAGGAAGAGTACTTCATCTGAGCCGCTGGGACGCGCTGGGGCCCAGGCTGCCCCGGTTCCCTGGAGCTGGGATCTATAAGCTGCTTTTTTTCTTTTTTCTCCTTAATTTATTGAGCCAGTCACAGAAGGAAAAATAAATAGGTGTGTGTCTCACTGAACAATTAAGTTATTCTGCTGATGATGTAGGGGCGGGTTAATGAGGTAGGTTAAATTGGAGGCTCAGGTTAAGCATGCGTGGGCCCACAGCCATCCCCAGACGTGGGGAGCTCGTTCCCTGTCCCCAGCACCTGACCTGAAGGGCCTGGGAGGAGCAGAAGCAGAGCAGGTTTGCTTCAGCTCTGGCCCCACTTGTTTCTGCCACACACAAACACCGGGCGAGGAGCAGCTGCAGACACCTCCCCCTGCTCCCTTCTCCAGGGCAGTTCCTCCTTTAAATCAACCAGACCAAAAAAAAAAAACACAGGAGGAAGTTGATAAAATACCAGCAAAGAGGAAATAAGTGAAGGAACTCCAAGGCTTGCGACGGGCAGGATCCAAGGGGTTCTATTTGAGGTCTAAAGCAAACTTGCTACTTTATTCAAATTTTCAAAATAGTCTTTATTCTACTTTTTTTTTTTAGTATAAAAAAATCCACAAGTTAAGTGCACCACAGTGTATACAGAGAGAGACATAATGCTGAACCTCATAACAGTCAGTCGTACGGTTAAACACAACATATACAAGACACAGATTTAGATTAAACTGAAACCTCGAGATAAAATATATTTGAATCTGGTATTTTTCTTCATAAAACAAAACCAAAAAAAAAAAAAAAGAAGAAACAAAACCAAAACATTGAGGATCCCTGAAATATTCTTCTTAACCCTAATAAGACTTCATGAACCCCAAGTCATTTTTAAAGTCTGCATTCACAGAGCAACCCGTGACCAAGCGACTGAGCAGGTCGCCAGTTGCTCCACACCCTGGCAGATGGTGACCAGCCTCCGCTCGAACCGCCCGCACGAGCTCTGGTGACAGGACACCAGGCTTGAGTTTTAAAAAAACAGAAAGAAGTTTGTTTATTAAGCATCGCTCTAAAAGCCTAGTTAGCATCGAATGAAATGTTCAAACATGAGTTGCATTGTGTTTCTGGCACCAAAGCACGGCCTTGATTAGATCTAATGTGCAAAGAAATCCAAGATTACTTGGAGTGTATAAAAAAAATCCCGTGACAGACGCCAGCTCCGACCTTCCTGGAGGGGGACGACGGGCGGGCGAGAGCACCGAGCGCGTCCAGGGATCCCTTCTAGAGCCAGGTCAGGAAGAAGGAGGCGCCCCGGAGCCCTCCCCGCCCCC